GCTCAGCCAAGTTGCTACCCTTCATTTAAGTCACGGCTCCAAAGTTTCTCTTTGCCTGCCACATTTAACAGATGCAAGAGTTGTGGCTGCTAAAAGGCTGGTCCTGGGGGTTTGTTCCCAGGATACATCACGAAGAGCCCACTTGGAAAGCAATTGGAGCAAGAAAGCTGGTGAGGCAAAAAAGAACAAGTCGGGGCAGGTATGGGGATCTAGCTGGTCTAACAGGTCTAAGCAGTTCTTTGGCAAGCAGTTTCTCAGGGGGACATTGCCCGCAGAAGTGCCATCATATAAACACTGCCACCTTCAAAATGCTTTCTTTACCGTATTGTCCCTCTGTCCTTTTCCCCTTTCATTTTAGTTGTTGGCATGGCTTGTTAAAATCTAGACTACATTTGTTATCTTGTGTCTCACTTATTCTTCAACACACTGTATGCCTGGCTTCTGCTTGCACCCACCATTGAACATTTTCTGGCTCAAGGAATCAGCAACTCCCTTTTTAAAAGGTCTTCAGTGTTCTATTGAAACTTAACATTTATTTATTTTTATTTTTTTTAAATATATTTTATTGATTTTTTGCAGAGAGGAAGGGAGAGGGACAAAGAGTTAGAAACATCGATGAGAGAGATCGATCAGCTGCCTCCTGCACCCCCCCCCACTGGGGATGTGCCCGCAACCAAGGTACATGCCCTTGACCGGAATTGAACCTGGGACCCTTGAGTCCACAGGCCAACACTCTATCCACTGAGCCAAACCGGTTTGGCTTAAAATTTATTTTTATTAAAAACACATATAAGTAGTTTAAAATTCAAATAGTTCTACCAAGTTTACCATGAAGAATAGTCCCAGCCACCACCCCTGCTTACCCGATGATAACTCCCCAAAGGCAGTCTCTAAGTAATTTTTACATTATCTTCCAGCATTTGCTTCCTTATCTATATATATAAAAGGCTAATATGCTAAGTGTCCCTCTGCCCAAACGACCAGTCGCTATGACGCGCGCTGTACACAGGAGCTGCCATGATGCGCACTGGCCATATACAGAGAAACAGCAGCATGGACCTGGCACTGACAAAGCAACACTCGGCTTCTCCCAAGTGGTACACAGGCCCCGCCATCACCCCGGAGCGACAGCCCACCAAATTGCAGCTGATACTGCCAAGATTCCATGGAGCAAAATGCAGCCCACAGCCCAGCCCAGCCTGGAAACGGTGGCTGTGGGCACTGAGTAATGACGTCCTGGAGCAGCTCCCAGCTTCCTCTCCCAAGCCATGGGCCATCTATATATATAAAAGGCTAATATGCTAAGTACCTGTAAGTGTCCGTCCAGGAAATGACGTCAGGTAGCAACGCCCAGCTTCCTCTCCCTAGTAACAACTTGCCTCCTTGCAGTTTCTTCAGCCCAGGAACATGACTTGCTTTATAGCCAGGTGGCCAGTCAGTGTATGCTTAATTTCTAGTTGGTCCTTCTTCATATCCTTGAGGGTCTCACTAGATTTATCGAGGATATCACTAAATTTATCGGTGGTCCAGAAAGCCGGTCTGCCATAATTAAGTTTATTCTATATAAAAGGCTAAGTTGACTTGCCCATGTGCAATACATATAAAGCTCTCGCTGGCGCCAATCGCACGCATGTGTTTTGATCTGTCATTGTTGATCGTGAATTTGGTTGACACTTCTATAGAGAAAGGGCGAATAGCGATATTAAAATATTTCTTCTAATTAATTTCCTTTCAATGTGCATGAATTCGTGCACCGGGTCACTAGTTTAAATATATGCTTATGTCACCACTTCTTGATTTTTCAATTTATGATATTATCTGTTGACTTCTTACAGTGGGAAGATAAGGATTTAGCTTTTTCACATCATCTACCCATACACAGAATCTACTTTTAACTGGTCGAGGCCTTCACTAATCAGACTCCCAGCTGGTTCTTTTTTAATTTTTATTTATTCAAAATATCTTTAATTTTAAAACACCCAGCATTCAGTACCAACTTAGAATCCAGATTTTTTTAAATCTCCCTGCCGGCTGCCCTCAGAGTGCTCATAGTCAGGAACAGGGCCACTTTGAGAGTGGCATGGAGATGGGAAACCAAGGGGAAGTGGGGGCTGCCAAAGACCCAGACACAGGTCCCATTTTTGGGGAGCCAGTTGGGGTGCCTGAAGGGCTGGCAAGAACCTAGTGCTGTCTTGGTCGCTGGTTGGCCCACTGGCCTCTCCTCAGCATCCTGTCCCTCCTGAGGCACCTGGCACAGATGCCAGGTGGGGCTGTGTCCAGGTGATGCCACGTGGGTCCTCCGCCCAGGAAAGGCAAATAGGCCGCTTGCCTTGGGGTCCAGAGGAACAGCAGGTAGGTTTCCATGCTTGAGCACATTCCCACAGGATAGGCTGCCAGCATGCTAACTGCCCAGGTAGGGTGGTTGCAGTCCATTTGTCTTGCCCAGGGGCTGTCGGGTGGTAGGGTAGCTACTGTGCCAGCCAGTAGGTGATGTACCTCCCGTGATTTCCCTGGACCCAATGATCTTTTTACCACCTGCGTTAGGGTGAGAGCAGGGCTAGGTGGGGACTCCCCAGGCACCCAGGTGTGTGGTGGTGGGGTGGAGGGTGGGGGGACAGCAAGACAGGTGGCCCCAGGATCCTGACCTTGGGTGAGAGGAGACCTGGGGGCACCCCTGACTCCAGCTGGTTTTTCTTTTCTTTTTTGTTTATATTGAATTTGTTGGGATGATACTGGTTAATAAAATCATGGTTAACAAAACCTGTTAAGAAAACAGGTTTCAGATACACAATTTCATATCCAGCTGACTTTTCAAAGCCTCCGCTATATAACACTCCACTCTTCAGTGAGCCGCCATTTCCCGAACACTGTGTTGCACATATTTATGCCACTCTGTCTTTCAGATGGTTTGCATAGCTGTGAGGGCTCTCCTGTGGTCTCTGAGCAAAACATTCTCGCTTTGAAGCCCCATCCCCTTCGTAAAGCCTTCGTTCCCAGCTGTACTTCCCTACCGATTAATTTCTTTTTGTACAAAGTACCTTATGTCACTGTTTGGCATTTCTTTCATTTATATCTCCTGTCGCATGAAACACAAGTTCTAAGCGCCATCTCAGATTCCTTCAACCCTCTCCCTCTTCCCTGAAGCCATCATCTGCCACTTGGACCACAGTCTTTTTTTTTTTTTTTGCGTTGCCAGCTAACCTTTTTCGCTCCCTGGGGTTAAGCTGGACCTGCATGGCCCTTACGACCCCCACATCAAGCCCTCTGTCTTCTCAGTCACCCCTCCACTTTAGAGATAGAGGAAATGTCACTCTACAGGCCACAGGGTCTGGCTTCTGAGCTGCTACTGAAGGATGAGATGATGATCAGAAGTGTGGAGGCATCAGTTCCCAAGTGGGGAGCCTTGATTAACAGAACAAAATACAGGAGGAGCCTGGCAGCTGATTCCCCCTTTTCATCCCCCTTCAGTGGACGACTCTCAGGCACGGTTTTTCCTTTCAAGCCGTCCAGAGAAAGGCAAGCCTGCTGAGCGCGCACACAGCCAAACCAGCGGGTGTCTCGGCTCTGGCTCCTTGTGAAGTCTCCAGGGAGGTAATCCTGGTGCCATCTTGCTTTGCCTCTTGACTTGCTTCCCTTTCCCGTTTTCCTCACCCTCACCTTGCTTCAGGCTCTGCTTTCCGGAGTGTTTATTCATCAACTTGGCAGAGTCATAGTTTTGAGTGTTCAACCATACATCTTCTTTCACTCCACAACGTGCCCTAAAATTAACAAACTTTAAAGTTTTAAGTCAACTTCTCACCGTACGTGCGCGCCCGCACGTGGTATTTTGTGGAAGAGCCACACTCAAGGGGCCAAAGAGCCGCATGTGGCTCGTGAGCCCCAGTTTGCCGACCACTGCCCTAGCTGGTTTGGCTCAGTGATAGAGCCTTGGCCTTGATTCCAGTCAAGAGCACCTGCACTTATCTCGGTTGCAGGCTCCTCCCGCCTGTGCCCTGGTCAGGGCACCTGCAGGAGGCAACCCAACACACGGATATTTCTGTCCCTCTCCCACGCGCTCTAAAAATCAATGGAAAAAATATCCTCGGGTGAGAATTTAAAAAAAGAAAGATAAAATCACTACCCCTGCCGAAACCGGTTTGGCTCAGTGGATAGAGCCTCGGCTTGCGGACTGAAAGGTCCCAGGTTCGATTCCGGTCAAGGGCATGTACCTGGGTTGTGGGCACATCCCCAGTGGGAGATGTGCAGGAGGCGGCTGATCAATGTTTCTCTCTCATCGATGTTTCTGACTCTCTGTCTCTCTCCTTTCCTCTCTGTAAAGGATCAATAGAATATATTTTAAAACACACACACACACACAAAAATTTAAGAAAAAAAAAGAAAATCACTACCCCTGATTCAATTTTTAAAAAACAATAAAATAAAATACAGCCTGTGTAGGGGATTGCCTCCTCTCTTGGAGGCTGATACATTTAGGGATGATTTCATTAATTTGTCACGATCTCTTCTTATCCAAAGCAAATCTGCGAGCTGGCCCCTAGGAGATCCTCCCTAAGTGACCGCGCCCAGAGCAAGAAGGAAAGTGAGTCCCGCTTGCCCCCAAGAAGAACTGTTGAAGCTCGACCAGCGGAGGAGTGTGGAGTTCATCCTGGCCAGTGCTTTGCACAAGAAGTGAGGACATCTCGTCCAAGACCCAACAAGGGTTAGGGACGAGGCTGAGACTCGCACCCAGGCCTCAGCTGCCCACCCGCGGGTCCTTCCAGCCCCCTCGCCGGAAGTGACGGACGGAACCCGGCTGTCTGCGTCTGGGGCCCCCTTGGGCAGAAAGATCTGCGGAAGGGCGGGCGGGACCGGAGGCCGGAACCTTCCTTCCGCGGGGATCCGGAAAGAAGCTGACCGGAGGAGGGCGGGGAGAAGGCGCCGCTTTGTTTCCGAGGGGACGATCTTCCGAGCCGGACGCGAGAGGCGGCGGTGAGTCCCCGTGGGAGCGGGTCGGGCGGGCTGGGGGTGGGCCGGTGCTGGGCCGCTGGGACCGGGACCTTTGAGACGACGCCTGGCGTTCCCCGCGCCTCGTTTATGAAGCGCCTCCCGAAGCCGGGCCCTGGGATGCAGCCCGGAAGTGACGGACTCGGTCCCCCTTCAAGGAGCGCACAGCCCGGGACGCGAGACGCTCCCGGTGACTGCCGAGTGTGACTAGGGCCGAGAAGGAGCCCGTGTAATAGAGTCCAGCTCGGAGTCGCTGCTAAATGGACTCCTGACAGCGGGCTGTAGGGAGGAAGGAACTGGGTCGGTGGCCCCTGTCCCAGAGGCAGAGCGGGGGGCGGCGCGGGACGGCCTTTGCGGCCGCGGAGAGCGAGGTCCGGAGCGGAGCCCGGCCGAGAGGGGAGCGCGGTTCTCCCTCAAATCAATAAGTAGACATATCCCCAGGTGAGAATATTTTTTATTTACTTTTATTTAAAAAATATTTTTATTGATTTCAGAGAGGAAGGGAGAGGGAGAGAGACACTAATGATGAGAGTCATTGATCGGCTGCCTCCTGCACGCCCCCCACTGGGGAGCGGGCGGAGCCCAGGCACGTGCCCTTGAGCGGAATGGAACCTGGGACCCCTCAGTCCGCAGGCCGAGGCCCCATCCATTGAGCCAACCCAGCCAGGGCGAGAAAAGAAAAGAAAATCACTACCCCTGCTTCAGTTTTTTAAAAAATAATAAAATAAAATAGAGCCTGTGTGGGGGATTACCTCCTCTCTTGGAGGCTGATGCGTTCAGGGATGATTTCATTAATGTCGTCCCGATGGTACCTGAGGCTGAGCGCCGTCCCAGGGGCCAGGAGGTCCCGGTCGGATTCCTTGCTGGACCCTGATGGGGCGTGTGCAAGAGTCAGCCAATCGGTGATTTTCTCTCATCATGGATGTTTCTCCCTTTCCCTCTCTGAAATCAATAAAAATGCATTTTTAAAAAAATATATTTTATTGATTTTTTACAGAGAGGAAGGGAGAGAGATAGTTAGAAACATCGATGAGAGAGAAACATCGATCAGCTGCCTCCCTCACACCCCCTACTGGGGATGTGCCCACAACCCAGGCACATGCTGTTGACCAGAATCGAACCTGGGACCCTTCAGTCCGCAGGCCTTCGCTCTATCCACTGAGCCAAACCGGTCTCGGCTAAAAATGCATTTTTAAAAAGAGGTAAAATTGTCAAGACTTTATGGATTAGATATGCTGTTTAAGTGATTCGATTCTAAATTTCTGGCCTGAGTGAATTCAAAACGAATTCCTTTTCCTCTAGTGTAAACACTGAAACCACAGGAAGTATTTTTTCCTCCATGATTATATGTACTTAATAAATTTTGTGTGCTCTCTGTAGAAAACTCAGAACATACACACAAAAATTTTTTATGTAGGACAGTAAAAAATTTATAATCCAACTACCCAAGATGGCCATTTTTGGAGTATTTCCTTCATGTTTTTGTTTTCTGCATCTTTTTGTTTAACTGGGAATATATTCATTACGTCTTTTTATATCTACTTTTTCCCCATTGGACATTATCATGACAATAAAGATTGAACTGGTATGTGCCAGAACATTATTTACAGATATTTCTTTTCCTGATTGTAACAGAAAAAGTCAGATGTAATTCCGTCAAGTTAGAGATAGTTTTTCGGTGTATTTTCCTTTAAATTTGTGTGTGTGCACCTTTTATAAAAACCCATGACTTGTGCTTAATTCTGTTTTGTTTTCCAATCAGAGGTTTTTATTTAATGTTATTTATTACTATTTTATCTTTACTCTTTAAGACTATAGGTGGGTTTTTTAAAAAATATTTTATTGATTTTTTTACAGAGAGGAAGGGAGATGGATAGAGAGTTAGAAACATCAATGAGAGAGAAAAATTGATCAGCTGCTTCCTGCACACCCTCCACTGGGGATGTGCCCGCAACCAAGGTACATGCCCTTGACCGGAATTGAGCCCAGGACCCTTGAGTCCGCAGGCCAACGCTCTAGCCACTGAGCCAAACCAGTTAGGGCAAGACTATAGGGGGTTTTTTTTGTTGTTTTTTAAAAAAATATATTTTATTGAATTTTTACAGAGAGGAAGAGAGAGGGATAGAGAGTGTGAAACATCGATGAGAGAGAAACATCCATCAGCTGCCTCCTGCACACCCCCTACTGGGGATGTGCCCGCAACCAAGGTACATGCCCTTGACCGGAATCGAACCTGGGACCTCTCAGTCCACAGGCCGACGCTCTATCCACTGAGCCAAACCGGTTTCGGCAAGACTATAGGTTTTAATGGTTGTTTCGTCACAACCAATCCCGTTTCTAGCTAATAGGTTTCAATGTGTTTTTTTTTTAAAAAAAATTCTTTATTGATTTCAGAGAGGAGGGGAGTGGGGGAGATAGAACATCAATGATGAGAGAGAATCATTGATCGGCTGTCTCCTGCACACCCCCCTCTGGGGATCAAGCCTGCAACCCAGGCACGTGCCTTTGTCCAGAATCAAACCTGGGACCCTTCAGTCCACAGTCCGACGTTCTATCCACTGAGCCAAACCAGCTAGAGCAGTTTTCAACTTTTTACTGTTAGAATGAGAGGGACCTCTTATTACATAAATTCTCAGATGTCCAATTTATTCCTTGAGAATGAGTTCTAGAAATGGAACCTACCAGGTGGAGAGAGAACATGAACCTATCAAATTGCCTCACCCAAATATCTAATTAAGGCTTTGATTGAAATTGTTTTAAAGATCAAATTTTTACAAGACTTTGTTTTTCCATCTAGGTTATAGTTATGTCTTTCTCATTATTCAAACTGTCTCTTATGCTTCTTTCATGTCTTTGTATATACCCTTCCCTTTCCTTGTTAAATTATGTCTAAGAAAGGGCCAGTATTACTGATTATTTAATAATGTGCCTTCTCTGCTGAAATTCCATGTGTGAAATGACTTTGAGTCATGTCACACTTTTATTTATAAAATTTTCTCCCTTTTTTTTTTTTAAATATATTTTATTGATTTTTCTCAGAGAGGAGGGGAGAGAGATAGAGAGAGTTAGAAACATCGATGAGAGAGAAACATCGATCAGCTGCCTCCTGCACATCCCCCACCGGGGATGTGCCCGCAACCCTGGTACATGCCCTTGACCGGAATCGAACCAGGGACCTCTCAGTCCGCAGGCTGATGCTCTATCCACTGAGCCAAACCGGTTTCGGCAAAATTTTCTCCCTTAATATGTGTCTAGGTTTTGCTAAAATACAAAAAAGTGGTGAGATCAGAAAGTTTAAAAAGGCCATGTGGAAGACAGGTTTTGAAACCAGACACAGTGGGTCCGAGGCCACCTGTCACTACTTGAGCCAAATTAAGCAGAGATGGGGTTGGATTATATATGAGCGTTCATTCCATAATGCTGGCTGTATGGGGAGACCAGTCCGTCACCCTGGAAATTCTGCTCTGACCCCCCCCTTGCCAGGTGGCTGTTTATATACTACACACAAGGGAGAAGATAGCTAGCAACATGCAGCCATGAGCTGCACGTGTAGCATGAAGAGGGGAGGGTAAAGTCTGCTGTCCGGCCTTCAGGAGCTCAAAGTCCGATAACAAGGTGGCTAATCTTTTATGATGTTACAAACAGCTCAGCCGGTTCCTGGGGCTGGAGAATGGTCAACGTTCCTGAGGGAAATTCCTAGTGGGGGTCAGGGTCTGGGCACAGCAACCAAATCGAAGCATGTCCTGTCCTTGGTCTGTTCTCAAAATGTATTTCTTTTCTGAGTAATGGGCCCATTGAGGTATCTTTTCTTTTTACAATCTTGTTTCATCCTCCAGTTTCCCAGGGTCTATTAGAAAACTTCTTCTCTATAGTTAGTAAGTGGATAATTATTAGACAGCTGTGGCTCTATTATTACATGCCCTTCCCCAGTCTCAGTTCTGTTAACACTGTAGGTAACTTATTGCCTAAAGAATTCCTGATATTCTGCTCCTAGTCAGCTGCTGGGGAGCTGCCCTCACCATGCCTCTGAGCTGCCTCACCTGCACAACAGGGCATCGGGCAGCAGCCACGACCCTCTCCCAGTAAAGGCAACGACAGACCCTCTCCCAGTAAAGGCAAGGACAGAGAGCTGAGCAGGAAGGAAGCTAAGATCCCATGAGGAAGCCAGAGGTGCTTTTGGGGTGGATTTTTCTAGTTTAGCAGTTGTACCATTAAAATTTTTAAGTTTATTAGCAAGGATGTTTGTTATAAATTCTAATGTTAACTTTTAAACAAAAGAAGTTTTTTGGTCTTTTTGGTTTTATGCAATAGAATCCTGCTTATCTAGGAAATGCAGTTAACACATCAGCTGGACCTATTTCCGGAATGCAGGGTGACCCTTCTGTTATTTAAAGATGTAAAAAATGCTGGAGACTTGAGAAAAAAGGCCATGGAAGGTGCTATTGATAGTTCATTGATAAACCCTACAGTGGTAAGTACAAGTGAGAATGAATGAGACATACGGGCATTTAAGAATATGTTAATTTTTCATGATGTAATAGGCTAGCCTAAAATTGCCATCTTTGGGTAAAAAGTTCTTGTCCAAGCTGTGGAGTGGAGTCAGACTTGGGCAGCCTTAAGTTTAATAGTGAATAGAAGCTGAAGTTTCAGGCCCTGCACTAGGAGGTGGGAAAGGTGTGGTCTGGCTTCATAATGCAGATGCCTGGATCTCCATTTCTCACCTGAACTGGAAAATCTCTGCTAAGGGGCATCGTATAGCGCTGACGAGCACACGCTGTGGAATCATGTTGCAGGACTTCATCCCGACTCTGCCAGTGGTTAGGACTTGGCACAAATGGTAGCCAATGACTATATAGTGTTTACTCTGTTCTGGCATCATTCTAAGTGCTTTACATATACTAACTCACTTCACAACAACTCTGTGAAGTTAAGTACTATAGGATTACCCACCTAACAAAACACTAAGAGTCGTTGGTAAGTGACACAGCTGGTATTCAAACCCAGAGATTTGCTACTTTTGTTTCATCTACTGCAGGTGAATAAGTATACTGATTTCCTAGGGTAGTTTTAAGAATTAAAGGATAATCCTACATAATAAAAGAGAAACATGTAAATTGACCATCCCTCTGCTAGGCTCACCAGCCCATCAGGAGTGAGTATGCAAATTAACCCAACAAAGATGGCAGGTTAATTTGCATACACAAGTGCCAGGTGGAGAGCACAGCGGAAGAGCTGGAGGCTTGGGGAGACATGGCTCCCTTGGTCACTCCCAGTAACTGACCAGGCAGAGAGGGAGAGCTGGTGGCTTGGAGGACTTGGCAGAGTGGGAGGCCAGGGATGGAGACAGAGCAGGAAGGGAAAACCAAGATCACGGGGAGCACCAGGAATTCTGGGAATAGTAGTTCTGTTGGCAGCCCCAGGACCGGAAGCAAAAGCACAGAGTGCGGGGAGCACCAGGAATGCAGGGAATTGTAGTTATGGTGGCAGACGGATCTCCTAGACACTAGAGCAGCGGTTCTCAACCTGTGAGTCGTGACCCCTTTGGGGGTCAAACAACCCTTTCACAGGAGTCACCTAAGACCATCAGAAAACACATATATAATTACATATTGTTTTTGTGACTAATCACTCTGCTTTAATTATGTTCAATTTGTAACAATGAAAACACATCCTGCATATCAGATATTTACATTACAATTCATATAGCAAAATTACAGTTATGAAGTAGTAACGAAAATAATTTTATGGTTGGGGGTCACCAAAACACGAGGACTGTATTAAAGGGCTGCGGCATTAGGAAGGTTGAGAACCACTGCTAGTGTCTTCTATATTCCTTTAAACCATTCACTGAAGAGAAATTGAGAATTCCTAAAACTTCCAGGAAATCTCCACCAATGAAGCAAAGAAAAAAAAAAAGCCTCTATTATTCTGTGAGCAACAAACCAAACTGAGTTGGGGTCTCAAGACAGTTCGCTCATATGATTGCAAAGACAGACAGAAACTCCCGGATTGGAGAGGGTGCAGGTCGGGCTGAGGGACCCCCACACCCTCCAGTACACGAATGTCGTGCACCAGGCCTCTAGTAGAAGTATAAAATGTTTAGAATATGACCTTTCCCATAATATTAGCCCTTGATAAATGTTATTTTTAATTTGTTTTACTATTTAAGTTCATTGCAGCTTTAAAATTCTATGATTTTCTGAACACCCAGGTCCTTGAGATAGCAATTTTGAAAGTATAGTTTATAGGAACTGTGATGAAGTAAAACAGCCTGACCTTGGAGTTATCATGAGATAGGGCATGCGACTTCAGAGTACTCCAGATTCTCTGTGTGTAATTCTTTTTGGTTTGTTTGTTTTGTGTTGTGTGTTTTTTGGGTTTTTTTTTTGGTAGATTGTCGATCCATTTCAGATACTTGTGGCAGCAAACAAAGCAGTTCATCTCTACAAACTAGGAAAAATGAAGACGAGAACTCTGTCTACTGAAATTATTTTCAACCTGTCCCCAAATAACAATGTAATTAATATGGATTTTACTTAACTTTATTTCTGCTCTCCTTGTCATGATGAGTGTTCCCCAGAATTCCTGTAAGTCTATTGTTAGTAGCAAACCAAAGGAGTAGTGAAGAGAGGTCTGGACAGAGAGTTAAGGTTTAGCTCTGCCTTTTGCTAGAAAAATAAGCTTTGGACTCACTTTGCATTTGAGCAAACAAAAGTTTTGCTAAATTAAGTGAGCATAGTTTTATCTGTATAGGATCAGGAAGATCCCTCTAAGTGACATCTGAATCTAAATGATAAAACAATAGGCATGGATATTTGAGGGCTATCGTATGCATTTTTAATTCTTCCTGTAAACTTGAGGGTAGAACCCATGTCTTCCATTTACAAGATGCCTGCCTGCTACCTATAACATCCCTTAACACATGCTCATTCCCACACTCTGTGTAGAAAGAGTTTGTGATTTCAGATACTAATAGTAACTCAAAAGTTTTGAGCTAAAGACATTCCACATGTGGCACATAAAAATAAAAAATAGCTGAAATTTTGCTGATGAAGTTTTAGTATTACCACTACTATTAATAACACAACCAGGTACTATTGTCATCAAAAGAAAACTTAGGAAACCTGTGGTATGGTTTAAAATACAGATGTTTGAAATATTCATGAAATGCATGATAATAGAATCCCCCAGTACCTGGAGGAAAAATTACCAGGTAATTATTGTTTCTTTGAGAACATTTGAAATAATTCAAGAAACTATTCGATTCAGTAGACACCTGTTGAGTTTGTCCCTGTGCTAGTCAGTTCTAGGAACAGAAGGAACAGGTACATCCTGAGGAAGGCAGGTGAACAAGACAGAAGTCCAAATGCCCTAAGATCAATGATACGATGGGAATGATAATTCACATCTGTGGGAACAGCAAAGAACAATTTTTCTGTAAGGAGGAGGGTGCAGGAGGGAGTGACATTTGAACTGCACCTTGAGGGTGAGGGCACTCCAGGCAGAGCACGAACAGTGAGCACACAGGCAGTGAAGTGTGACACAATGGGATCTCCAAACAGTCTAGTCGGCAGGAGGCAGGACTGAGGGTCACCGGCCGGAGGAGGGGTGATTGGTGTGCCTTGGGAAGAAGTTTGAGCTTGATTCCACAGGATGAGCAAGGAGTGCTGTAGAGGCAGAGCTGGTAGATGTTGGGAAGGGATAATTGAAGATAAAAACTAGGCAGAGAGAACTCCCAGGATATGAAGATACCCTGAGCAGGAAGAACGATGGGGAGGTGCGTCAGACACAGAAACTATTGCTTCATTGTCTTTCCCCCCAGATTTCAGAGGCTTTGAAAAAATTCGGTATCTCAGCAAATGACACTTCAGTTCTAATTGTTTACATTGAAGATGGAGAAAAACAAATAGATAAAGAAGACCTGATAGCTAAGGTAGAAGGTCAGCAAGTTTCCCTGAAAAATCTTCCTGAAATAACAAATATTACAGAAGTCAAAAAGGTGTGTAAATCCAAAAAGGTGATAGATAAGGAATGATACCAATGCTGTTTGCTATTGCTAACCTATGCTGCTTTTTTCTTTTTCGAACTTTTTTTTTCAATCCATTGATTATTTTTTTTAGACAAAGGAAGGGAGAAAGAGAAACATTAATCCGTTGCCTCCCATATGCTCCCTGACTGGGGATAGAACCCACAACCTAGGTATGTGCTCTGACCGGGAATCAATGCTCCAACCAACTGAGCCACCCAGCCATGGCATTTTTTTGAACTTTTAAGAAAGGTTAACATAATTTCAAATTACTTGAAAAATTATTATAGATGCGAAGAATTGGAAGAGGCAGGTTTGTGTAAAATGTAATTATAAACTTGGTTGATAAAAGCATTTTCCAATTAAGAAAGAATAGACAACTTTAGATGTCAAGCTTACATAGTTATATTACATTTGTAATATAACATAAATTTAGTATGAAGCTAGTGTGTATGCCTTTAAAACTGGTACAAATTTAGTTTCTGTGTTTAGAGAGCTACCACCATAATTTCAATTTAAAGGGCACTTTTGACATATGTGATGCATCTACTTTGCATATTTTAGTCACATATTAATTTCATACTGTTATCCCAATAATTGTATGATAAATGATTTCACTTACAGGTTTGTGTAATAAAAGTAGTGCATGAATATATTAGAATGCCATAATTTGTATTTTATTTTCATAGATATATAAACTATCTTCACAAGAAGAAAGGATTGGGACATTATTGGATGCTGTCATTTGTAGAATGTCAACAAAAGATGTTTTGTGAAATGTCAGAAACATTAAAAATGTTCAGCATTTATAAAAAACGTTGCTTTTTCTTTTCTTATAATAAAACTAGAGGCCTGGTGCATGAAATTTGTGCGGGGGTGGCGGATGTTCTCAGCCCGACCTGTGCCCTCTCACAATCCGGGACCCCTTGGGGGATGTCCAACTGCCGGTTTACAGGCCTAAACCAGCAGTCAGACATCCCTCGCAATCTGGGATGCTGCATGCACCAGTGACCATAATTTCATACAGGTGAAAGGCATCTTGCCGCCCTAGCTGGTTTGTCTCCATGGATAGAGGACATGATAGAGGACAAAGGGCCCCCGGTTCGATTCCAGTCAAGGGCACATGCTCGGGGTTGCGGCTTGATCCCCAATAGGGAGCATGCAGGAGGCAGCCAATCAATGATTCTCATCATTGATGTTTCTATCTCTCCCTCTCTCTCTGAAATCAATAGAAATATTTTTTTTTGAAGGTTTTAAATCTAAGGCTGTTCCCAATACATAGGGTAGGGTCCCTAGGCCTGGCCGGTGATCAGGGGCCAATCTGTGAGGTGACCGGTCGGGCCAACCCCCACTGGCACCTGCCTTGGCTGGTGGTACTGGTGCTTCCTGCTGGCTGGCCCCGCTCCCTGCTGCCGCCACCGGTTGCCTCCCTCTATGGCCCCTACTGAGGGCAGCTCCTCAATTGAGCATCTGCCCCCTGGTGGTCAGTGCATGTCATAGTGGCCGGTCGTACCATCATTCAATCAATTTGCATATTAGGGTTTTATTATATAGGATTTATATGTGTTTATTATAGAAAATTTTAAAACAATGGTATAACGGGGGGAAACCTATTTCTACCTGTTAATATTTTCAAAGATAATCACTGTTAGTGTTATTTGTTATTCTAGTCTTCTATTTCCATTCAGATATATTTTATCTATATATATAAAAGCCTAAGCAACCAGTCGACAATTTGACCAGTCAGCCGATTAACAGTAGCTGTGATGCACACTGACCATCAGTGGGGAGACAATCCAACCTGTAGGTTACCTTGCTGCTCTGGTTCGGACAATTGGGACTGGGCAAAATGGGCCAAACATGCCTTGGAACCCTCCTTTGATCCCTCCCCAGCTGGCCAACCTCCTGCGGCCCCTCCCCAACTGGCCAGCCCCATTGGCCCCAATTGGGACTGGGTGAGACGGGCCAGATACGCCCTGGAGCCCTCCCTGTCCCCGATCTTGCACTGATGGGGTCCTGGATTGCAAAAGGGTGCAGGACAGGCCGAGGGACCCCACAGGTGCATGAATCCATGCACCAGGCCTCTAGTTTTTATATAATTGGAATAGTAAATGCAAACATTTGTTGGATGTCTACAAGGTACCAGGTTTTTGCCTTAGTAATTCTTCTTAATATATATTTTATTGATTTTTTTTTTTACAGAGAGGAAGGGAGAGGAATAGAGAGTTAGAAACATCGATCAGCTGCCTCCTGCACACCCCCTACTGGGGATGTGCCTGCAACCAAGATTCATGCCCTTGACCAGAATTGAACCCGGGACCCTTGAGTCCACAGGCTGATGCTCTAGCCACTGAGCCAAACTGATTAGTGCTGCCTTAGTGATTTTATAAACACTAGCTCATAACACTTTTTGGGATAGATGCTGTTATTACCCTCATTTTACACTCGGCCACTAAAAGATTATGGTAACTTGCCCAAGGTCCTACCACTAATGTAAAATCATGTTTTATAAGTGATTTGGGTTTTTTTCTCATTTTGATTGTATCAGTCAAGGTAGACTAGGTCATGGTTGGCAGACCTTTCTGTGAAGGGCCAGATAGTAAATATTTACAGCGTTGCAGGCCAAATGGTCTCTGTTGCATCTACTCAGCTCTCACTGTTGTAGTGCAGGGGCATCCACAGACCGTACATGAACGATGAATGTGGTTGTTTTCCATTAAAACTGGAAATAAGTGATGGGCAGGATGACCGAGGACTGTGGTTTGAGGAGTTCTGGGTTAGATTAGGCTGCAATTCTGATCCCTAAAGCTCATTGGCTTCACATGACAAAGCTCCTTGCTCACTCTGTGTAGCCAGCGTGAATCGGCAGGAAGACTTGCAGTGACTCTGGGACCCGGCTGGCTGAAGGCCTCATCTCAGCGTGTGCTCTGTGGGTCCTTGCACAGCTGGAAGGAACACGCTCAGGGCGGCTCCTCAAGTGCAGGAGCACACAGCTAACGTTTCCTGCATGCACTCTGCTAAGCACTTTAATGCACTCCCTCAGTCTTCATTACAACCCCAGGGGATTTTGCCAGCGGAAAACCAGACTTGGTCTCTCAAGTCTATTTTAAAAAATTTCAAGTGTACAAAACCATTGCAAATATTTGAAAGTAAGTTGCAGTCCTTGTGGCACTCACCCTGCATTGTGTTTGTCGTGGCTCTTCGTCTCCTTTAGAACAATTCTTTTAAAAAAGGTAATGCTGAGATTGCTTTAAGAGTACTCCAGATGTCTTTCAGAATTCCACAATCTGGAATTGTTTGTGATTTGAATCAGTTTAAATATTCTTGGGCATAATAGATCGATTTTGTGTCCTTCCTGTATATTTTAAATAAATAACTGCATGTTTCCCCTGAAGCTGAGAGAGGCTGCTCCCCTCAAAGCTCAAAATGCTGTGGTCGGGGTTAAGTTTCAGATCTGTGAGACCCCAGGTGCTGTGCTCTTCCCGTGCCCCCACAAACACGTTCGTTTTATTGCTGTGTAACATTTCGCATATGTAGTTCCATTATTACACATTTGTGTTGCTTTCTAATTTTGCCTCCCCTTTGCAAGTAAATCTTGGTACATGTTTCTCCATTATTTTTTAAAATGTATTATTGATTTCAGAAAAGAGGAAAGGACGGGGAGAGAGAGAAAGAAACATCAATGATGAGGGAGAATCATTGATCTGCTGCCTCCTCCACGCCCCACAATGGGGATCAAGCCCACAACTCGGTCATATGCCCTGACCAGGAATCCAACGTGACCTTTTGATCCATAGGTCAACACTCAGTCACTAGCTACGCTGGCCAGACCATTTCTCTTTAGAACAGCTTCCCGGAAGTGGAATTACCCGGGATGAGGATATGCATTCATTAAAGGCTTTTAATATAAGACAGGTGCTATGTGCAGTTCCGTAGGTCACATGATTTGCCTCCTTTGTCAAAGGTTACATATTAAAGCTACAAACTGGCTGTCTGCCCTGCGCACTGGAATAAGGTGGGGAGCGGACTCTGTTACCCAGGAGGTCATTGTGGTTCACCTCTCCCCAGTCCTGAACTGAGCCGTCTCAGGGGAAGGGTCTTTAATCACCCATCCACTACCCCAACACACACTCAGAACTATAGGGACTGCTCCTAAGTCTGTGCTGCCCCTTCAGGCTGTCCCAGAAGCTGCTTCCCCAGCTCCCAGATAATGACCTTCTTACAAAAGTGAAAGAACAGGCTCCCTGCCCAGCTCCCTGACACGGGTTGATGATTAACATGGCCAGGAGCCAGCCAATGAGTGGGCTCCAGGGCCTGGTCCCAGGGCTAGAGCCAGCCCTGCACAGTCTTCCCAGAGGCCAGTCAGAGGCTGAGGGAGGAGGCCGGGCTGAGGCCACCTGGATATTCGAGGCTTTTGTGGTGACAGGTGAGAGGACATGGGTGGAAGGACGGGGCTCTGAGTGTGGCCTGCAGCTCCGGACCCTCCTCTGGCTCTCAAGCCAAGGCCAGGTTGGGTGTTGGGCTCTCGGGCCAGCTCAGCAGCCTCCACCTTTGCAATCAGGGGGGAAGGAGCCTTTGTGGAGACCTGTGCTTGGGGACACAGGCTTCCTGCAAAGTGCGGACCCTGGCAGAGGCACCAAAGGGTGAGGGGATAGAGCATCAGCCTGCAGACTGAAGGGTCCCAGATTTGATTCCAGTCAAGGGCACGTACCTCAGGTCCAGACCCTGGTTGGGGTACATGCAGGAGTCAACCAATCGATGTGTTTCTCTCACATTGGTATTTCTGTCTTTCCCTCTCCCACGCTCTCTAAAAATCAATGGAAAAATATCCTCGGGTGAGGATTTTTTAAAAAAGGTTGGGAGGGGAGGAGTGGAAGGGAGGGTACATGTATCTGTTGTTTTATCAAATTCTCAGAACAACCTCAGAGGCAGGCTTTGATTTCACACTGTTGTACAGATGAAGAGGCTCAGAGAGGTTAGGCAACATGCCCAAGGTCACACAGCTAGAAAGGAATGGAGCCAGGTCAAATGAAAGGCTTTCTGACCCTGCACCTTCTCCCAGTGGCTGTGTCCTACTTCCCGGGGCAGCAGCAGAAAGACAAGCCCTTGACAGGGGCTCTGTGGCTCCCGGGAGGTGGGAGATGGGGGTCTCACTTGGCTTCCTCTCTCTTCCCCAGGGCTGCAGGAAGGGCGCAGGGACGCCTAGCTCTCTCTGCTGGACTTCGAGGCTCAGACCCACCAGTCCCCATGGCTCCTTGTCACATCCGTAGATATCAGGAGAGCGACCGCCCATGGGTCCTGGGCTTGTTCGCCCGGGGCATGACTGAGCACGCCCCCACCACCTTCCGCCACATCCTGAAGCTGCCGCGGACTCTCCTGCTCTTGCTTGGGGGGCCCCTCGCCCTGTTTGTGGTCTCTGGATCCTGGCTCCTGGCCCTCATGGCCGGCCTCACCCTCCTGGCTGCCCTGAGGTTCCTGGCCAAATACCCCTGGACCCAGTATGTGTCCAACTGTTTGCGCACAGACATGCGTGACATCAGCAAAACCTACTTGAGTGAGCCAGGCTCCTGCTTCTGGGTGGCTGAGTGTGAGGGGCAGGTGGTGGGCACGGTGGGAGCTCTGCCCGTTGGGGAGCCCACCCTGCGGAAGGAGCAGGTGGAGCTGTTTCACTTAAGCGTGGCCTGGGAGCACCGGGGCCAGGGGATAGCGAAAGCCCTGGTCAGGACCGTCCTGCAGTTTGCGCGGGACCAGGGCTACCGTGAGGTTGTCCTCAGCACCAGCATGCTGCAGTACTCCGCCCTGGCCCTCTACCAGCG